ATTCTGTTCCTTATTCTCTGTTTTATTAGCAGTAAGATTTCACTTCAATATTTTCTGCTGTTCATTTTATGTTTAGTCTTTTTGTCTGAACATTTCTGTTAAGACAGATTTCAGACTTTTTTTCACCTTTATTGATCTTTCTTTTTTGCTGTTTTGGTATAAGATTTAAAAATTTGGCTGCTTGGACAGGTATAATGGCATAGGTCATCAAGTCCAGCATTTGAGAAGTTGAGGCAGGAGGATTAGCATATGTTTGAGGCTAGCCTGGACTACATAGAAGATTCTAGGCCAGCCTGAGCTATATAGTGAGACCTTGTATCAAAAAAGTAAACAAAATGAAAAGCAAAACAAAACAACCCCATCATAAACAATATGACTGTGTTCTGACATGTCCTGAGTGGGTTTCTTTTCTCATTTAGGTATACAGGCTTGTCCAACATTTAAAAAAAAACCTATTATTAATTACTATTAATTATTTTTATTTATTTATTTGTTTGTTTATTTATTATTTGTGTATGAGTGTTATGCTTGCATGTATGCAAGTATACCTATGTCACGCTAGAAGAGGGGGCTGGAGACCCAGGAACTGGAATTACAGATGGTTGTTGGCTACTATGTTGTGGGTCTTTTCCTCACCTTTTGGGCCGTTGGCCACCAACCCAGGAGAACAAAGGGAGCAGAGTGACGAAAGGGGCCAGGATGGCCTGTGAGTGTGACAGAAAAGACCTTCTGGGGAGTCAGATTCAGTGATACAGCTCCATTTATTCAGTGGGGGTCAGGGAAAAATATCGTGTGGAGGCAACAGCCAAAACTTCAGCTGATAGGTGTTCATAGTATGCTTTGTTTACATGTGGTACAGGGATCCTATCATCTGGCTATAGGACAATGCCTAATTATCATATAGAAAAAAACCTGGGGGCAGTTTTATTGCAGGCAACTATGCCAAAGGTCATGTTCCAAATAAGGTCAGGCATCCGTGCTTGGAGGCACTTTCCAGGTAAGTCAGACAGAGAACAGGAGGCCCCCCGCTGAGAAAGGGAGTCCTTCCATATAGCACCGAGCTCCTTAGAGCTATCCGGACATGGTGGACTACAACCTTAGCAGCAGAGTCCTCCAACACTATGTGGGTGCTGGGATTCAAATCTGGATTCTCTGTAAGAGTAGCCAGTGCTTTTAACTGCTAAGCCATCTCTCCAAAGCCCCTTTGTCCAACGTTTTGACGTTATAATATGACATTTTCATCTACAAAGTTCACCTTAAAGAACCACGCAATTGAGCTATAAAAACAGTCACAGAAAAGGGGCCTAGTGTTTATTTAAGTTGACAGTTTCGTGTTGGGGTACATTCTTGCCTTTTCACACCACACGTAGCTGGTGCCTTTGTCTTTCTTTGTTCACTTGACTGTTGAACTTTGAGTCTGCTTCCAGAAGTTTCTCTTCTAAGTGGTATTCTGCCCACAGAAAGAGCCTTGCTAGATCTGACTCAGAGTTTATGGGGTCAGCACTACTGCGTTCATGCCTCCTTTTCTGTTATGGGGCCCTCACAATTTCCACAATCAAGGGGCACATTCTTTCAGCAAGTCTGCTGTTCCCAAGTTGGTGCGCTGTGCTTTTCTGTGTCCTAGTTGGTACTTTGGCATCTGTTGCTCACTCCTCGGGGCATTCTTCCCTTGCTTCCTTGTTTTCCTTCCCAGACTCTGATACTGTCAAGATCTTGCTGTTGTTGATTTTTCCCTTCTGTTTTTGTATTTTAAATTTTGGAGGATGTCATATTATCTAGTGTGTTAAGGGTTTATTTATTTATTATTTATTTTTAAATTTTCTGGTCTGTCTGGTTGTACGTGAGGATATAGAAACAGTGAAAACTATACTGCCCTTGGCATGGCCTTTCTAGAATGCCTTCCAGTGTTCCTTTTTTTTAACATATTAAACAAGTATACAAGGAGGCTGATGGCTACAAGTTTCTTATTCTGGGGAACAGAAAAGAATATTTATGAACCTACACTGCTGATCCTGCTTGAGCATCTAGAAAAGTCCTGACAATCCTGGTTGATACTCCTCCTGTGAAGTGCCTTTTTTATTTTTAATTTGTTTTGTTGTTAGCCTTCCGTGCAGAGTCTGGATGTATTGTTCAGAAGCATGACACCTGCTCTACAGCCTGCATAGTCTTGCTGTTTCTGAGTATTTGGGGATTATGCCACGTTTCTTGAAATCTATTCCAGGCTCTGAAATTAAAAAAAAAAAAAGAGAAGAAAAAAGATAAAAGAAAAAAGCTCCTCCCACCTTGTAGTATATGTTTGGGTTCTCTCTGGCATTGCTTTCTTATGATACCTGTTTTATTTACAATGGAACTGCACTGTGGACTTTTTATCATCAAGCATCTTCTTATGTCCTTTACACTTATACTCTGAACATGTATGATAAGGTTCTTTCCCTGAGGATTTTGTTTACTTTAGAATCTGTCTATCTTTGGCCCAACCTAAGAAAGCCAAGTTATTTCTAAATCATCCCTTTTTCCCCTCATTGGCACCCCAACTCTAAGTCATTTAGACATATCCTATAACTGATACTGATGAAAATTTGTGCAATTAGAAATAAGTTGCTTTTTGAATTATAGCATTAGAGTGCTAATTTGGCTTGGAATTTAGTTTTGTGTTGTCACTATCAAAAATTTAAGATTATAAATGAAAGTCTAGTAGCCAATGGGGACCCTTGTCAACATAAGGAATGCTTATTGACTGTGTGTGCATCTGTACATGTGAAGAATATGCATTCAGTCAGTGATTGTATTGCTACACATGCTTCCTTTGAGTTGCTGAGGTATAATGGTTTTCTTCTATGTGTTAGAATAGAAATAGAGACTATTTGCAGTGTTTTTCTAAATGTATTTTCCATCATTTAAAATTGGGCAAAGAGACAAATGACTACTCTGTAACTGTATTTTAGATTATCTTATTTTGAATAAATCTCGTTGGATAGTTCCTAATCTAAAATTTATTATTTTGCATCTTTTCAAACAGGTGCTTTTCTTCTAAACAGTGATAAGAAATGGCCATTATGTTTATAAATCAATTATATATTTAGGAACTTGCCTACTTCTACACTATGGTTCAACCATTTTGTAGTCTGTTAGTGTGTGATATTGGACAATTGTTTTTATTCTTTTCTCATATAGGGTTTTGCTGCGTAGACCAAACTGGCCTTCGTTTCCATTCTCTTGTCTCTACCTTGTGAGTACTAGGCTTACAGATGTGTGCCACACCCAACAAATACACAAAGGAATATATATTTTTTTCTGATGTGGTGGTTATTGAACACAGGATCTTGCACATGCTAGGCAAGCACTCAACCACAGAGCTAATCCCCAACTTTTAACAAGGAGTAGTTTTAAGCATCTTTTATTTGCCATTTCTTTGTATATAAAATGGGACAGTATTGGTACATATGTAAGATTGATTTAAAGGTTATAGGATATAATGTTTGTATGTTACTGAGTGTTTATGATACTTTGGGCATGTCCTGAGCAACTGGGATTCATTAACAAATGGAAAATGCCCCATTTGATGCTTTCCAGTATTAATGGGAGAAATAATTAGTTATTGCATCAAAGAATATAAAATTATGAACATGATCATTGTAGTGGAGAGATGTAGGTACTTTTAAGGGCACATTATAGGGACTTGAGCTGTCTGGAAGGTTGTGAGAAGTTCCTTTGAGAAGATTAAGTATAGATCTAATGAACTATGAATGAGAATGAACCAGAAGACTGTGTGTATTTCCTGCATGTGTGGATGAGGATGTGTAGGACAAGAGTGCCCACGACAGAAGGAAGAGGGACTTGGTGAACTTGAAGAACTAAAAGAAGACCAGACTGTGAAGGGACAAGTAGAATGGTTTATGACCTTTGAGATGCAGCTGGGGAGGGAGACAGAGGAAGGAAGTTTATTATTCAAAGATCGTTTCTAGGCCATGCATGGGAATGTGAGCTTGAAAATAGTGTTGGATGTGACATTTCTGAAGTCGGGTTTGCAATAATCTATTATCATTGTTATCCTTTATAGTTATTTTTACATTACATTCTTACATTAATAGGATTATAAGCTTCAATATTTTTTGTTCATTGTTTCTTTTCCCTATTTATTATGGTGACTTTCTGAATCCAAATCCCCCAGTCCATCCATTTAGAAATAAAGCTAAGAAGAGAGCTTTGTTTTCTTTCAATTAGTTTTGCTATTTGAAATACAATTTGTTTTTATGTAACTTTAGGTAAGATAAATGAAAAAAAAAGCCATGCTACTGCCTACTGTGAGGTCTCTGAATGTTTGATGCTTCTTAGCTTCGAAAAACGTTCAAATGCTGTTGATTGTTGTCTAACTTAAGTAAACTAAAGTGCAGAATTGTTGGTTCTCCATGTTGGCCAGAAGTATAGAGTGATTTCACATTTTGATTTTTATCTTGAACAACTTCTATAAAGAAGAGATCTGAGGCCGATTCTGTGAGTGAAGAGAAATGACTTGAAAGGTTGCTGTTATGTGGGCACAGGTGTGTGTGTGTGTGTGTGTGTGTGTGTGTGTGTGTGTATGTACAGATGCACATTTTAATTTTCTTCATTGAAATAATATTGGCTAAAGCAGAGTGAATATGGAAGCTCTTGAAGTGTTTCAATCAAAGAGAAAAGCTGCTTTTAGAAAATGCAAACAACTTATGAACATTACATAGAATCTGGTCAATCTTCAGTTCTTAGTGACTCACACCATAAAGCTGTTCCTTTTTGTACTGAATATTTGAGCAAAGAGTTGATAGTTTAGAAGATGTTCTTCCTAGTGATGTTAGTGAATGATCTATAACATTTTATTGATAGCAAGTATACTAGAGAATCAATTCTTTACACTGTACATGAACCCCTTGCATGCAGAGTAGATCATAATGTCTGCCATGTAAAATAAAGTATTTATTAAAGGGACTAATAAACATTCTGGAAAATCTCATATATTTTTCCAGGATCTGATCTTCAGGTTTGCACATCCAAAAAACCAACATGTTGCACCAGGAAGATGGAGGAGAGATACCAAATTGCAGCTCGCCAAGATTTGCAGCAGGCTCTTCAGACCTCCAGTTCTACATTAAAATTGCTGATATCTCGAAATGCAGCTGCTTTTCAAGGTAAGTGTATCTTGACTTGTGACACTAATTACCAGCCTTCTTATACCATTTGCCTGTGTCCTGGTTTGTTTCTTCATGCTGTGACAAACTACTCTGACCACTTTGGGGTGCGCAGGGATCCTGGGGCGCCAGCTACTAGTGTGGCGCCGGTCCTCTGCATGCACCTGGAGGGCAGCGGGTCCCACAGCGCGTTGCTTGCGGGCCCCTGCTTCTCTGCTGCTTCTCTGCTGTGGGTCTCTGCTACCAAGGCTGGCTCGGTCGAGTTTTGACCCAATTTCACCCGTGCACTCTCTCTCTAAGTTCGGGGACCGTCAGCTGCCGGGTCACGGAGGAGAGGTGCAGGACGGCTAAAGCTGGATTTCCGTGAGTCAATGACGGAAGGATAGCACCCCCCGGGAAGACTGGATCGTAGGCAATAAGACACGGGACTCAGCTTAGTCTGTGTTACAGCTCTTTATTCAGTGACTCAGCTTGGCTCCAAGTCTTGGTGATCTAGCTCCAATTATTGAGGAAAAACCAGGACACTTTATACCGTGGGGGTGGTAGTAAAAACCTTAGCTGATAGGTACTTTTAGGATGCCCCATTTACATGTGGCGGTAAGCTCCTGCCAGGCTGCCAGACTGCCTGAAAATCACACAGGAAAACCTGGCATTTCCAGAGCCGGAGGCCATGTTTCTGTGGCGGCTACTTCAAAAGACGAGTCAGGAAGATGCCAGGAAAGCATCCTGCTGAAAAAGGAGTCTCTGCGTTTGAATCCGAGCCCGTGGTCTTTCCGGACATGAAGAGACTACTACTTTACACAGCAGGAGTCCCCAACAGACCACTACCAACTTGGGGACAAATGGGTTTACTCAGCTTCCATCTCCCTGGTCACAGTTCATCAGGAAGCCCAAGGTAGGAACTCAGGGCAGGAACCTGGAGGAACTCTGCTTACTGGCTTGCTCCCCTGGCCCCTGCTCAGCCTGCTTACTTATGCAACGCAGGCCCACCTGCCCAGGGGTGGCACCATCCACAGTGGGCTGGGCCCTCCCACATCACTCAACAATGAAGAAGGTGCCCCATGGACATGGCCACAGGCCAGTCCAATGAAGGCAATTCCCTAGTTGAGGCTCCCTCAACCCAGATGTGTCAAGTTGACACTAAAGCTATCCAACACAGCCTGTAATAATGATATTGGTAAATATATTGGTAATAGTGGTATTGGCTTATTTCTTCTTATTTGTGTTATTCTGGAATACAATTAAGTTTGGTTTTCTTTCTACCCAATGTAATTTATTTTTGAAGTCTTCCATGGTACATGTTTAAGATAAACAGGGGAAAATACTAATTGCTAAAATAATCCTTTGGAATATACGCCTTCATAGAGTTTTCCCAGGTTTCCAAGATTCTACCCATAGTTTAGCTCCAATGGAAACAAACAATGATTAGATCTCATGGAAAAAAGAACAACATAAAATTTCATTGATTTTTTAACTAAATAATTATAGATTTATTTTTTATTATATGATTTGAAGAAATGTTTATCTTAAGTATTCCCCTGGCAGCCTCACATGGCTTTCATAAGAATAGCAGTTCAATACACCAAGCTGTAGCCAAGAGTGGCAAATAGGAAACCAGAAAATATTAATTGGATGTACAAGGGTCAACTAACACCAAATTCAGCCCTAACTCAAATAATATGTTCACAAGTAAAATTAATGAGTTATGAAATTACAAGGCACACTGAAAAATTGATATTTTTCTTATTTTAGTCATCTTTTCTGTAAAATTCCTTACTGTTGTAATAAAATAACTTAATTTGTTTTCTCTCTTATAGTGTATTAGCCTATTGTGTGTATGACTAAAATAAAAAGAGTTTAGAATACATGGCTTTTCAAACAAATTTATGGCTCTGTTCAATATAAAATATAACTTCTGTTAGTCTTCTTTTTAGATAAATTTATTAATGACAATATATTCAAATAATTTGCTTTGTTTAATACATAACTAAATCAGAAATACTTATTAAATAAATTCAATGTGATAAATCAGAATAAAATTTAAGTTGAGTTAAACTGTAATCTATAATGAATTGATGACTTTTTCCCAGAAACTTTGAAATTTCAGGTTTTAAGATATTAGTTTAACTATTTTTTCAGATGCTTTATAATGTAGCTTCATTTCTGTTATAGAATTTACTCATGAGAAATTGTTGGGAGGAGTTTTATTGACATGTGTTTTGAAACAAGATTTCTGATTTGACTTGGCTAAATTAGAAGGTTTTAGATGCCCAGTGGGAATGATACAGTGATTATATATAAAAAATATTATATATAGGTAATAGTAATTTGTCAAAAACTACAGAGGAATAGCAACTGATGCCAAAGTATTTGACAAATTTCTGCATGATAAGGTTTATGGAATAAAAGCTTGTACTATAAAATGTGCTCTAGAAATAGCAGGCATCATCCTGTCACATAGCTACTCTTGTTCTGTAGAATCCCCTGGGAGTAGAGCCTTGAGTTAGTCAATGGGAGTGAAAGTACTGATGGTGTTGATATTTGCTTGCACAGAACTTACAAAGGTGTGTATTCTAACAGTGTTGGCATGCACACAAATTGAACTATTGATAAAGTTGCCCCAGTGAAGACAGGGATACTATTTGGATAGGATAATGATAGCTCATTTGATGTAGAAAACATAGTTTAGAAGAGAGTGGGCAGTAAAGCAGAGAAGTGTGAGCCCATAGAGTGTGGTTATTGATCTTGAGTTTGAGAAGAAGGGAAGCAGAAAACACAAATTTGCGAGATGGAGGATTCCTTATGATTTCTCATCCTTATCATCCCCGACTGGCTACATAGAACAGACTGGCCTTGAACTCGTAGAGATCTGCTAGCCTCTGCCTTCTAAGTGTTGAGATTAATGGTGTGTACCAGCACACCTGGCCCATCTTTTAACATTAAACTTCAGTCTTTCTAAGTAAGAATAGGTGGCCACCGAAGATCATGGCAAACATAATCTACTGTTTTAGTTGATAATATTAACTAGGGAGAAGAGAGAGAGTGTCATCAGTTGCTGTCACATAGGTGCTCAATGTTGGCTTAATAGTTTCTTTCCTCAAAGGTACTTTAACAGACTTTTACTAATAGTACATTCCTAATAAATAAAAAAGTCAAAAGATTGTGTCACCTGTAATACATAGACTTTAAAGATAAGTTGAGTTTACTAAAAAACTCTGATGATATTCTTAAAAGTTTCATAAAACAACCATCTCAGTAACAAAAATGCATATTGAGGTCTAGGATTAGCTCCACCTTCCCAATGTCATGTAATTTTATGCAGTCTTTTCTTATTTTATGTTTAGTAAATTGTACCTGATATATTTAACAAGTTGAGGTTTGGTGTTTAAGATTATAAAATAAAAGGCATAGAGGAATTATTAAAATGATTTGCTATAGTAAATTATAGTAATCTCTTCATGGAATGTCAAGTTTTATTTCAGAATCATGAACAGGCAATATAGTTATATAAGAAATTTTCTGATAGGTTAATTCTGCTGGAAGAAAAATTTCAAGAATACAAGTTTTTAATTTAATCCATAGAATAATTGGCTTTGTGCTTAATTTCATGAAACAAGCTGAAGTACATATGCTAAAAGCCACATGAACGATGACATGTGTGACATCATAACTGAGCTGGCTACTTATCAACTACTCTCCAGTTCATTCCTATGCAATCAAAGTACATGAGAAAAGAAATATTTATTTTTAAAATAACCAATACATTTTAGTGGGGAGAAATTTAATAGTGGAATCAGGTCACTTCTCCTGTAAATAGATTTGCTACATTTTGATTTTAAATATGTTTTGTTTTCATTTCTTACTTAAAAGTGTGATGCTGTGGTCTCTAAAGGATGCTTGACTACTATGCCCTTTTTTACTCATGGATTCTGTGGATCACCGTGGAAATGTGTATTCTTGATAAATTCTTGACTATGTCCAGTTGGGATTCTCATTTGGACCTGTGGATTTAGTGTCCTTCAAGCTGCTGTTACATGTAGGCTGGGAGGATGACAGTGATGAGCGAAGCTGAGCCCAGTGCTAGACGACATCCTGGGTTATTCTGTGGACAGTTCACATTGTGTTCTGCAATCTTCCTCCTCGGCACACACTGTGTAAGCTACTAGGCTACAGTCGGCATTTGGGACAACTTCTTTTTTTTTGAAAAAGAATTTGCTGGAGTTTGTCTTAGTCAAAATAACTAAACAAAAATCTGTTGTTGGAAGGGTCCTGTGGTTATGACCTGGGGTGTGACCATTTCCTGAGGTAGTCACTTGGAGCATTCTGTAAGGTAAAGGGAAGAAGCTGCAGAGGGGAGCACTAGCTTTGTCACAGCAAAGACAGAAGGTGCCCCTCCTTTGGAGGGGCTTCAAAGTGCTCATGAATAAAGTGGAGCAGAGAGGAACAACCAAGGGTGTGTTTCTCTTTGGCTTTTCGGTGATGACTATGGGATTGCCTGCTTTAAACATGTTGTGAAAATTGTTAAAGTAAATGTTTTATGTATGCATGCACCGAAGTATAGTGTGAAGGAACAGGGAAATGGGCAGAATGTGTCCTGCATGCCAAAAAGCAGCTCACTTAGTTTTCACACTTGTCAGTTTGAAAATCTCTACTCTAGGAAAATGGTGGCATTTCCTTTTAGAATGTAAAACTATCATAAATTTCACTATCATTTTCAAGAATCAGGGATACTTTATTTCAACATATTTAATTCATCATTTTCAAAAATAAGGATTATTTTAATGAAAGGACACCAACAAAGTGTGTGTTTCATGTAAACATTAGGGAGATAAAATTAAAAATATATATTTCTTTACTAATGTACCTTTGCCTATTTCTTTTATCAAAAACACTTAGATAGTTATAAAACCTTAGGTAGCTACTTCCTCTGTATTTTGGGAAATTCCCAGCTTCATACACGGCATTGAAAATTTACATCACTGTACAATCTGAGAGATAAA